AATTCCCAGAAATCCTAGTCAACATCATCATTGGGTCTGCCTTTCTTAGTATCAAGCTAAAATTCGTCAATAACACACGTAAATGTCTGCCGAAAGGTTGTTATTACTTTTCCTTTTGTCTTGCCACACCGAATTATCCCCTACCCTCGTATCTCCTTCCCGTTCTCTCGCAACTTCTGACTTGTTTATATTCGATAACTTAGGAGGTTTGCGCTTTTTTGCTAAGTTTCGGGACGGCGTTGCTACACCTTCTTGTCTACTCTGCCTACCCCCTCCATCGTAATTTGCCGAAATCACTGAACTGATTCTGACCTTCCATCCGAATCTTTGTTATAACCCCGGAGATTCGCGTCTTAGTAACTATTTACTTTCACTTGGCTCCACTCAGAGTATACGTTTTACTCTAAGCGCTATCTCTCAGAGTCCGCCACAAGCCTTCATAGTACGTCTACTGTCGCCTCATCTAGCGGAGTATGTTTTCGACACTCATAGCTCATATCTATGATTTCCATGCTTGCAGGTATCAGGCATTGTCTCCACACTTCCTCTCTCTCATTCAGCCCGTGTACCCTGAGCAGACTGTGAACGTCCATCAATGGTCTCCTGCTGCATCCTGAGTGGACTCCAAGTCACTTTGCCTCCGATCTTCTGGCCATAATGCCCAATTCCTGTTACGGTTGTGATATTCTCTCTTCCTAGTCCTGTGGCCGCCAGGCCTCAAAGTTATTGCTATGATCAGATTACACTAGCTGAAAACGTCTTCTCTTGATTTCCAAATGTTCACCCCCCACTTCTTCCTTGTGATCCCTTTTCTTTTGGTTAACGATAGCTTGGAGAGTTGATTAGAGGATTGATTTTACTTGTCTCTTTGACGAATTTTAGGTTGGGGCTAAGAACGGCCCACCCATTAACGATTCCGGCAAAACGTGTGTGAATTTGCCCAGTCTACGTTCCAATGCTACGAGAGTCAAACTAGGTCTCTCTAACAACGCTAGCAAGCTGCAAAAATGAGGATAGACCACTTTTTTGCTATCTTTATTTAGCATTTGTTGACTATTACGATGTTCGTCACAAGATGGAAGTTAGCTCCGCACGGATTCATCGAGGTTGCAGGCGTAAGGTGAGATATCTGTGAAGTAAAGCTGGGTTTCGAAGACTCCCATAACGAGTTAGAGTAATTAGTTTTTTCATATTAATGGAAAAGGAGTAAAGACTTATGAAGTTTCGGCTAGAATCTTTGAATATATTGAGTAGGTGTTCAGAGTTACACTCCACATTACCTGGATACTGTATACACACAGCACATTATATCACACCTAAAAATGCGTTAAATTTTTCAGAATCATGCGCTTGATTATAATCTATCGTTCTGAGGATGTCTGCCACACGTCGAACTAAAGTCCTCACCCCGCAGCTTCTGATGAGACGAATTGACGAAACACTTCCGACCAAATTTTCCCTCTAACTGGAAGGTCAAGTATCGCAAGATCGCATTTTATATACTCGTTCCGGATGAAAAAGATGGGGTCGTGTGTATGAATAAAGTCGACGACATAGTGAAAGTGGGGTCGGGTTGAGCTGTCGCCTAACAACTACAATGAGCTCTGTCTCTTTCCTGTCCTTCTGAGAAGGCATCCATTTTGTGTGAAAGTGCAGGAAGAAGATATTCGTTGTTTGACCTACCCAGAAGACGACGACTGAATCCCGTTGTAATGCAGCTCTTTGGTTTTAATACGACGTTTCGGATGACGCAGTCCACGAGACCTCCTTCGTCGCTTCGGGTGAAATCGAGCTGAGATTTCGTCCATTATATGATAGACATAATCAGAGCTGGAACTAATTCTCATAAAAGTCTCATGTTAACACAAACCAATTTATAGCTAGCTATGTCTTTTAATTTTCTTTTGCCCAATTTAGTCTATACAAGAGGTAAGATAGAGCTGGATAGTCTTCTTGTCCTTGTGTTAATGTGAGACTTTTACTAGAATGAGTTACAGTTGGGACAATGCCGTTCATACGATGAATGAAGGCTTATCCCGTTTTCACCCGAAGCAAGTGAGAATGTCTCGTGGATTGCGTCGTATTAAAGCCAAACGAGTGCAGTACGACGGGAATCGGACGTCGTCCTCTGGTGAGATCAACTAACCAGTTTCTTCTTCATGCATTTTCATGCAAAATAAGGGTCTCGCCAACAATGTAATCTCGGGAGATTCATCCAAACCCACTTACGCATCCTATCTTATCCTATTCCTCCTCCCCCTCCTCGGGGCCTAGGTGAACGAGGGAGGAAGAGCCCCAGTCACCGTGGACACCCTGGTGGCCAGTGACCCGGACACTATGGACTCTGAGATCCAGTTGCATGTGATCCAGCAGCCTCTTTGGGGTCATCTTAGTCTGATGGATCCGGTCGCGATGACAACGCCCGCTTCGGCCCAATTGGATGTGATCGTGGAGGCCGAATCGGAGGCTGAGGCCGAGGCTGAACAACAGGTCCCGGTCGGCCAGCTACTCCGTTTCAACATGGCCGACGTCCGGCGGATTCGTGTTCACTACGTCAACTCCCGTCACTCCGGCGGCATCGAGTCGCTGGCCGATGTTTTCAGCCTGCGTGCCTATGACGGCAACTTCTCTTCGGTTGCCACCCTCGAGATCAAAGTGGCCATCAATCCGGTGAATGACGAGCCGCCCAGGGTTCGTCTGTTGGGTCGGTTTTCGGTGCCACTCGGGGAGGCTCGAGTCCTGACGCCGCATCTCTTCGCCGTCAGTGATCACGACGTGCCTCGCGACGTGCTGCAGATCCGATTCACCGAGTTTCCGCGATTGGGCCAGTTGCGTGTGCACTGGCGCCACGGGGAGGAGTACACGATCCGGCTGCAGAGCAGCCCCATCACGGAGGCCTATCTGGGCATGTTGAACATCTTCTACGTCCAGAACGCCTCAGCTCTGGCCCTACTGCCAGGCGGTGGCGACGGCACCGAACTAATGTCCGCCTCCAGAGTGCTGGCCGTCGACGAGTTCGCCGTCAGCGTCTCCGACGGTAGACACTCCGTCCTACGTCGAGCCCAGATCCTCATCCGACCGGCCAACCTGATCGCGCCTCGTCTTCGCGTCGACCAGCGCGCCGACGGCTGGCTCACGCTCGACGGAGTGCCCTGGCGTCGACTTGACCATCCCGGCCCCGGAGGGCTGATTGTTGAGGACGATGACACACCTGAAGATGATCTGATCCTGACACTGATTGAAGCGCCGCGTCTGGGCAGGATCGAGCGTCTGCCGCGCATTGATCCTTCTGTAAGTCCTTTGCGTTAGATCTCTTTCACCTGTCTCGGCTTGGCTTGTTGATACAACCTTGTCTTAGATACTCAACAAGTGGCTCAGAAGAGTCCAAGCCGAGCCCATACATTAATTAGCTCTAATCTATAGCATATATGCATATTTATATGTCACTACTTTTATTATATAAGTAACATGTGCATTATGATATAACTTGGCCTACACTATTTATTTATTCTGTTATCAATGCGTGTTGGAGGCATGCATGAAACTCATTCACTTCCAATTCGAGTAAATGTGTGTGATAAAAAGTTTCGCATCAAGAGATGTCGGCGGATTCCTCTTGGCCAGCTGGGCGTTGGCTATACTGGAACATTCTGGCTGCGCCGTTTCTGAGGCAATCTTCCTTGCTCCATGTGACCGACCCAAATTGAGCACACTTTCACTGGAATCAAAGGATATTGAATCGAGGTTAAGGTTAACAAGAATGTTCCAGTTAAGCCGAGCTACAGCTACCCAAGAGGAATCGGCCGTAGCCTTCTGAAATGGAATTGAGCACAACAAATACTTGGAAAATGTTTAGTTTGGAAGTAGCGATTCAAGACTACTAGTAAATCAGTTATAGGAGATATATTCATGCCATTTCGTTTAAGGTGATGAAGTACTGATAGTTTAATTTTCCCACAATGATATGAGTAGAGCTGAAGTTTCCAATGAATTTCGCATAGTCACGTTTTCCCAAATGTGCTCTTATCCAAATAGGACTACAGTTTCGACCTCGGATAGGTCTTATCAACACCCTCAGCAGGAGTCGAACCATGAGAGTGAAGCGTGAAATCTCGAGACATTTATCACCACGCCACATTTCCACAAGTGCCTTTGGATCGCAGATCAGATGTGAATTCCTCTTATAGCATTATTTGGGGAGATTGTCGATGAAGTACAGTTTTTTTGCTATAACGATCGACTACATTAATTTGGATGAGAGCTCCTTTTGGAAAAGCATCACTATGTGAACTTAAATGAAACCGTCAGCTCTACTCATATCATTGTGGGAAAATTCAGCTACTACTCTTTAGTAACCCTAAATGAACTAGGGTG